GGGTGTGCTGTCGCCCCTTCTGTTGCCTATAAGGACACATCGTCAGGTTTAGGACCCACTGAGTTCATCTAGGACAGTGAACGGCAAACTCATTAGTCAACAGAGCCAAATATCAACAGTACAACGATTGAAATTTCTTTTGAGAGCCAGATTTTTTTAACTTAAACTATATAGGTAGGTACATTTGTTATTAACTTAATTAGGGTACTCCCAAGGCTCAGGAAGAGCCACACTCAAGGGGCCAAAAAGCCACATGTGGCTCGCAAGCCGCAGTTTGCCGACCACGGATCTAGGATAATATCAATTCAAGATCCTTAACTTAATTACACCTGCAAAGACCCTTTTTCCCCCAAATAAAGTCACATTCACAGGTACCAAGGTTAGGATTCAGCCGTATACATTTGGGGGCTATTATTCTACCCACTGCAGGGACCTAGAAGATGTCTGATATCACAGGGCAGCAGACTATGACCTTGTAAAGGTAGAGTCGGTGACCATGAAGGGCTTTGAACTGAGGAGTTCGGGCTGTTCCTTGAAGTGAGTGGGGAACTGTTAAATTTTGAACAGGGGAGAGAGTGTTGGATTTGTCCTCGTAGGCATTGGTGAGGGTAGAGAGGAGGGTGAGGAGTGGGGATAGTTCGGGGTGTGGGAGATGAGGAGCGGGAAGAGGGAAGAATCTGAAATGCCGCCCGGGTTTCCCACCTGGGTGATGTGGCATAGGAGGTTGAGATGTTCAGGAACCAATCAGAGAGACAGGTCTGCCACCCAGACCTCACCCTGGAATGTAAATTAGATTTGGGAGAGGGAGCAAAGTAGGAGTGACAGGCGCCTGGGGATCACCAATTACCCCCACTACTTCATTATGAACAATTTCACACATACTGAAAAGTTTGAAGAGTTGTATAGTGAACACCCACATGCCCATCACCCAGAGTCTGTAATTACCGTTTTTCTACACTTGCTTTATCCCTCTGAACATCACCAACCCATCTTACTTTTCATGTGCTTCAGAGTAAGTTGCTGACATCAGTGCACTTTACTTCAGCACATAGCATGCATATCATCAGCGAGAGCTCGGTATTTAGTGAAATGCACAGATCTTAAGGGTACTGTTTGATGAATGAATCCACCTGTGTACCCCAAGTCTCTGTCAAGGTACAGAACACTGCCCTAGCTGGTTCGGCTCAGTGGATAGAGCATTGGTCTGCGGACTGGAAGGTTCCGGGTTTGATTCTGGTCAAGGCACGTGCTCGGGTTGCGGGCTTGACCTCCAGTAGGGCACGTGCAGAGGCAGCCAATCAATGATACTCTCTCATCATTGATGTTTCTATCTCTCTCTCCCTCTCCCTCTCCCTTCCTCTCTGAAATCAATAAAAATATATATTTTTAAAAAGATACAGAACATTTCCATCACCCAGAAAGTTCCCCGTGCCCCCACTCCCAGAAGCAACTACTATTTTTACTCTCTTTCAATCATAGATGAGTTTTGCCTGTTCTGGAACTTCATGTAAGTGGAAGCATACAGGATATGCTCTTTGGTGTCTGGCATCTTTCACTTAGTGTGAGAGTCGGTAGGAGTCTTTTCTGTTGTTGCATGTATCAGCGGTCTGTCTCATTGCTGAGCACTATTCTGTTGTAAGGATATATAAGGAATACCAATTTTTAAATATATTTTTATTGATTTTTATAGAGAGAGAAGAAGGGTGAGGGAGAGAGAAACATTGATGAGAGAGAACCATTGATCGGCTGCCTCCTGCATGCCCCCTCCTGGGGATTGAGCCCCAAACCCTGGCGTGTGCCCTGACCAGGAATTGAACTGGAGGCCTTTCAGTGTATGGGATAATGCTCAACCAACTGAGCCACACCGGCCAGGGCCGGAATACCAGTTTTTAAAGGGTGGGCAAAGAGACTTAGAAGGAAAAGTGAAGGCAGTAGGAAAACCATCTGGATCAGTTACAATTAGGTTTGACTGCATATGACATAAAAACTAAATAGCAGTGTCTTAGATAACGGGTTTTTTTCCCCTCTGTCATGTAAAATAAGTCCAGAGGTAGACAGTCCTGGGGTGATATGGTGGGTCATTGTGCCATCGTGGGCCCAGGCTCCTCGCTTTCTATGCAGCTATCTTCAGTGCTGGCTTCTATCACCTCACGGTCTAACGTGCTTTCCAAACTAACAACAGAAGGAGGAAGTATGAAGAGGACCAAAAACAAACAAACAAAACATACCTTTCAGCCCAAACAGTCTCTTTTAGCAGCCTTTCTCAAAGCTCTACACATCTCCTTAGCCAGAACTTAATCAATGGCCCATCCCAGTAGGAAAAGTAGTCTTGTAGCGAGCGAGCCACTGGGCACACAGCCACCCTAAATATCATGACACTTATGTTACCGGGAGAGGGAATGGATAATAGTTGTCATCAGCCTCCTGTGCCTTCTTTCTTTTGAGACCTGGTGGCCAAGCCATGGTCCACTCAGCATTTCCATCCGTGGCCTCTCATCAACGGAAGCCCATGCTTGGCAGGTTCCCACCCTCCCACCTCCCCAGGGTGCCTTCCTTCTCTGATGGTTGGTTTCTCTGCCTTTCCTGCATCCCTTTTCCTGGTGGGGGTCTCCTGGGCCCTGACCCTGGGCTGTCGGGATCTATGGAGGGTGCAATGAGTGGGGGAAGTATCAAGGAACATTTGCAGAGAGTTCTGGGGGCACTTCCCTCCACTCCCGAGCCTCCCCCTCCTGTAGCTAGCACCTCAACTCTCAGGCACCTCTCCTGTTCCTCTTTGTCAGCCTCCCCTGATAAGAAGGGCCATAGAGGATTTCTCTGGAAGGTTAGGGCTATTCAGAGGGAAAGAGATGGCATCTGGAGATAAACCGATAGGCCTGGGTTCAGATCCTTTCTGGGCAAATCTTCTCTGTGATCTTGTCTGTAAGTTGGGGATAATAAGAGCAGCCTCGCAGAGGTGGCTGGGAGGTGAGAAGAGCAGGAGATGCAGGTGCCTGGATGCCACTCTGATGAGGCTGAATTGTGCACACAGGGGGAAAGCCGGCAGAGACCTTCCCGCCCTGCTGGGGCCCAGCCAGCTGCAGGCTGTGCGGTGGAGGCTCGCCACCTTCTCTATTGTCCTTTCTACCTCTGCCCTTGGGAAAGGTCTTGAGAGTCAGGGATCTGGTCCTGTGACCCCCGGGAAGTGGTCAGTGTATAGGAGGGTCCGTGTGGCCTGCTGGAATCGGAACTGCTGGCCAGGCCAGGGTTCACCATCACTAACACTCCTGGCCTTGACTCCAGGAGTAACAGGGCAGCCTGGAGAGATGACAGGTGAACATGATGTTTCATTTCCTCCTTGTGCTTTTCCAAAGCGAGTAGGTCTCAGCAGCCAGCCAGCCCCCTCACGGCACCAGCCTCGGGCAGACTGGATGCTGTGGCTCCTCTGTTTCCCTCCGACCCCCTGGAAATAGCAGAGTTGGCTCACTCCCCGCCAGCCTCAGACATAGGCCCTGTGTCCTCCAGGGCAGTGGAGCCTATCCCCCGGGTACGTGGCCTACACACAGCTCAGCGGCCGGATCACTCGGTTCTGTGCTGCTTCACACGCGTGCCTACCCTGGGAAAAAAGAACAGCCATGTCCTTGACAGCTTAATGGGCTGTCAGCACAGGAACTGGAGAGGAAGTCGGCGGGGACAGGTGCCGCGAGGCTGGGGAAGCTCTCAGCTGCCAAAGGGCCAGATTGCACTGAGGGTGGCTGTGGCCAGGCGCCTGGTGACCTGTTGACACCATTCTCAGGCTGCCGGCTGCCCTGGGGCTGGTGTTATGACCGAGTAAGAGGAGTGGGACCCAATGCAGGACTTGGCTCAAGCCTCAGACCTGAGATGGGGCAGTGCGTTCCTCTGCTCATTCATTCTCTTTGCTCACATTTTCCGAGGTCCTGCTGCATGTCAGTCCGTGGGTGCTGGGCACAGAGTGATGACTGAGACACCCAGTCCTGCCCCAGGGGATTAGGGACACATGGGCAGGATCCACAGGGCCACTAGGAGGCCCTGAGCTGTCGGAGTTCTGAGCTGGGGCGCCAGGGAGCACATCCCGGAAGAAGTAATATCTGAGCAGGTGATGGGACAGGCCCAGCCAGGGGCTGGGAAGGGGGTGCGTGGGAGGGCCCCTCACTCAGCTGCAGGAGAGACCCCCGACTGGTGGGGTTTGACCAGAGGCCTTTCTGAGGTGCTGCCCTGTGTCCCAGGGCGGGGGTGTCTGTGCGTGGGCTCTGCAGCCTAAGTGGTGCTGGCAGCCAGGGGGGGGTACAGCTCAACTCCCCTAGTCTTTTCTTCCCTCCTTCTCCCAAGGAAGCCGGCATTGAAATTGTAGAAAAGCTGGCTTTTAGGAGCCTGTGTTCAATCGTGTCCCTGCCAGGCCTCGGTGCCGCCTTCTCGCCCACGCTCTGCCAGCCTTGGGCCCCGTCCTGCACCAGGCCTTGTTCAGCGGGGTTAGGGCTCCCTTGGGTGCCATTCCTCAGCGCCCCACCCCGAAACCGGCTCTGCGCCCCCTCTCCCGGGGAGCTGGCTCAGCATACAAATGGTACCTTAGGAGGAGGGCTCAGGAAGTGACATCGCTTGGCCCGCCCCCACCTCCTTATTCCCTATAAAAAGCAAAATGGTGACTCAGAGAGGAGAGTTGGAAGCGTCCTGCCTCCCGCTCCCACTGTTAATTCTTAAGACTTGGAATTAGGCAGGAGGCAGAGGAAACAGCAGCTTGAAATACGCAAATACGCAGCTGACATGCTATTAAGCAGGTGGCAACAGCACAACCGCTCCTCCCCGGCTCCCAGCAGCCCCTGAACTGCTGGCGCTGCCCAGCCCCGCGCGAGGGCCCGGCCCCCAGTGCAGCCCCCTGGGCCGGGCCGTGGATGCTGCCGCCGGGAGCATGGCAGCCGGGGGCCGCCGCCGGCGCCCACTGCGCTACCAGTCCCTGGCAGCCCTGGTGGAGGACTCTCAGTGGCCTTTCTTGTTCCTTGTCTCAGACTTCAGCTACGGGGCAGACGACTACGACGCAGAGGGGAATGAGGAGCAGAAGGGGCCGCCGGAGGGCTCGGAGACCATGCCGTACATCGACGAGTCGCCCACCATGTCGCCCCAGCTCAGCGCCCGCAGCCAGGGCAGCGGCGGGGACAGCGTCTCCCCCACCCCACCTGAGGGGCTGGCACCTGGGGTAGGTACACCTGCTTCTCCTTCGGGGTTTGGGAAGAGAGGGCTGTGGGGGAGAGGGGAGGCAGGCACGGGAGTCCTGGGCCAGGCTCTGCTTGGGATGCTGCTGGGGACATTCGGCACTGGCTGTTTTCGGTGCCCTCGCCATCTCTTTCCAGTCCTGGATGCCGATCAGTCTAGGCTCCCCTCCCACAGCACCTGCTGCTCTCTCTGCCGCCTCTACCAGCCATCTGCTCCCCTGCCTGCTGGACACCCTCACCTCTTCCAGCTCCTCCTCTAGCGGGACGGGGCCTTGGGGAGGGCGCAGGCTTTCTCTCTGGGCCGGGGCTGGACAGTGGCTGCATGTGTGACCTGCCGGCTGTAAATGTGCCAACGCCAGCTCAGCAGACCAAGGCGGTGGGGTGGAGTGAGCTGCTGCAGTAGCATTTGCTGAGGTCCACGGGCCCCAGCCAGCCCTCTGGAAGGGAACGAGCTCTCCTGGTGTCCACCTCAGCTCTTGCCGACTGACGGGAGCTCTGTTCCGAAGAGAAGCATGCACAAGGAATATTAAGTCTGTGCTCCGAGACAAACCCGGGGGCACAGAAATGCGTAGAGGTTTGCAATCCTTGTAATCAGTGCTGTTCCTGGCCGCAGGCACTGGCTCTCTCTGGGCCCAGCTTGTGCGCGTGCGTCTGAGGCACATGAGCAAACGAGACAGAAATTCCTGGGGGCTGGTATTCGGAAGTTGGGGAGAATCAAAGCCGCTCCTCCATTTAGGGGGGGGGCACTTGGAGTGCCTGTTCCTGCTGAGGAGAGGGCTTGCTCAGCTGTGTTTGGTGGGGGGTCCCCTTTCTTCCCTCTAATGCCCCCAAGGAACAATCTCTGAGATGCTGTGAGATACGTGTTCCCCTCCAACAGAGCCCAGCACCCCTCACCCCACCTGCAGCCAGCCAGGGAGGGCTACCTGGACTCAACCCCCCCCCTTCCTTTCCTCCACCCCTCTGCCAGCTCACCCCCCTCTTCACACACCGGGGTGGCTGTTATAGCCTTTGGCAACAAGGGCCTTGGCAACCGACTTCCCACTTGGGGGAAGCCACATTGTTGCCATGGCAACGGAGGCCCAGCTCAGTGGCTGCCAGGCAGTGCAAGTTTGGGAAGGGAAGGGTGGGGGCAGGTGGGAGGTGGAGGGGCTGGGGAGGGTGTGGGTCAGGTCCAGGCCCCCCATGGCCAGCATTCTGGTGTGTCGCTTTGTGGTCCTAGCAAGGGTGGTAGGGGAGAGACAACCATGTTGGACATGGAGGCAGGATTTTTGCTTCTGGTGGGAGAGAGTATTCTGGGACCTGAACTGAGGCCACCCGGGAAAGCAAGGGGGAGGCTGGCTTTCCGTCGCTGCCTTTAGGTCTCTCATTACAACAGGGCTCAGAGACTCTCCCCCTTCACCCCGATTTCCCACTGTGAGCAGGTGCAGGGGGAGTTGCTGTAGGACACAACCCAGGGCCAGGGATGCTGACTGAGCGGAGAGCGTGTGGCCAAATAGAGCCACTTGCTGAAGAGGAAAAGTGTCTTTGCATTTCCTTCTCCCCTCCCTGCCTTCCTCCTCGCTTCCTGTCCTGCTTCCTTCCCTCATCACAGGACCACCTGGCAGGAGTGCTTGTCCATCAGGTTTTAGGTTCCCTGGTGAAAGGTAGTCAGGTACAGTCAGGTGCCTTTCACTCTCCCGTGAAACAGGTCACAGGAACGTGAAACAGGTCACAGGAACGTGAAAGAGATCACAGGCATCATGGGAGGGGCCCCTGCCTGGAGCTCTGAGGCCTCCAGGCAGGGACTTCCTTCAGCCTGTGGCTGCCCATTTTGCTTGGTGGCTCTCGAGGGAATAACTTGGTTTGAGGACTTTGAAATCCAGAGATGCTATAGTGACAACTGACTGCAGTGCTTGGGAACCAGAGGGTTGAGGTGAACACCATTGGCTGGAAGTCATGCAAGACGGGGGTGGGAGCATCTGTCTAGCTCGGGAGCTTATGGGAGATTCCAGCCCAAGGCACCTCCTGCCTCCCCACCTTCCCTCCTGGAGTTGCATGTGTTGTCCTTTCTATTGTGTCACTGGCCCCATCTAGTGGACTCAGCAAGTATTGCTATTTACATTGTGGTGCTGGAGTTGACAACCTCTTCCTGTGTACTTTGGGGAGCAGTTCCAGTTTTTTTTAAAAAAAGAAGACAAGGAGGAAGCAGAAGAGTGAAAAGAAGAAGAAAGCAAGCCAAGGTTTCTGCTACTTGGCTCAGCTCATGTGGCAGGCAGGTCCCCTCCCGGCCAGGCTTCCTGTTGGGGCCTTGGGCACCCAGGGGACTTTTAGACCAAATCAGATGATCGTTCTAGCCTCTGGCAGTGGGGCATTCCACACCCAAATATGTACTCCACCTTGTGCCTAGAAACCCAAAGTTTGGTCTTTGTGTTAATCAGTATTCTCCAGAGAAACAGAACCAATAGAATACAAGAAAGAGAGAGAGAGAGAGATTTTTATTATAAGGAACTAGAGGCCCAGTGCACAACATTCGTGCACTGGGAGGGGGGGTGTCCCTCAGCCTGGCCTGCGCCCTCTCGCAGTCTGGGGCTCTCACAGTCTGGGACCCCTCGCTCCTTACCTCTCGCCACCGTCGCTATGCTCGCCAGCTCTGAGCCTGGCTTCTGGCTGAGCGGCGCTCCCCCTGTGGGAGCACACTGACCACCAGGGGGCAGCTCCTGCATTGAGTGTCTGCCCCCTGGTGGTCTGTGCACATCATAGAAACCAGTCGTTCTGTCATTCGGTTGATTTGCATATTAGTGTTTTATTATATAGGATTGGCTCACTCAGTTACGGAGGCTGAGAAGTCATAAGATCTGCAGTCAGCAAACTAGAGACCCAGGAAAGCTGATGTATCGTTCAAGTCTGAGTCTAGAACCAGCAGGGCCAATGGTCTTTGACTAGAAAGCCAGCAGGCTTGAGACTCAAGAGCAGCCGATGTTTCAGTCTGAGTCTGAAGGCTGAAAAAGACCCATGTCCCAGCTCAACAGTCAGGCAAGATGAGTTCCTGCTTACTCAGCAGCCGTTTAGTTCTATTCAGGTCTTCAACTGATTGGACGAGGCCCACCCACATTAGGAAGGGCAGTCTGCTGTACTCAGTCACCCGAGTCAAATGTTAATCTCATCCAGAATCACCCTCACGGATACACGCTGAATAATTTTGTTCAAATGTCTGGGCCCCCGTGGCACAGTCAGGCTGACACGTAAAATTAAACACCACAGTCTGACTCTTCCAACAGCCCGGAGAATGGAAGGAACACGAGCTCTGAACACATCTGCTCTCTCTAGCTGTGAGAGGTTGGGGGAGTGTCATAGCCCCTCCGAGCCCCCGTTTTCTCATCACTAAGTAGGACTAACTGCCCGGCCGGTGTGGCTCAGAGGTTGAGCATCAACCTATGAACCAGGAACTCATGGTTCAATTCTGGATCAGAGCACATGCCTGGGTTGGGGGCTCGATCCCCAGTGTGGGGCGTGTAGGAAGCGGCTGATCAATGATTCTCTCATCATTGCTATTTCTCTCTCTCTCTCTCTCTCTCTCTCTCTCTCTCTCTCTCTCTCTCCCCCTTCCTTTCTGAAATCAATTTAAAAAATTTTTTTAATAGACTAACTACCTGAGAGGATAGACTTGGCTAGCTCAGGTGAGGCCTGCAGCATTGGGCCTGGCTCACTGTGGGTGCTCAGTCCTTGGTGTCTGGGGCCCACAAGACTTTTCTCACCGGCTTTTAGAGGAATGGGAAGCCTGGAGCTAAGCAAGGGCCCGGTCTGATGAATGTTTGCTGGACAGACAGACTGAATCTGCGTTAGCAACCTCCCTTCTGGGGTTGGATCGGTCCTGCCCAGTGTGGCCAGATGAAGCCAGGTCTCCGTGGTGTTGGCAGGACACACACGCTTCACTCCCCAACACTCCCCTGCAGCCTCGCTCTTCTGCGCAGCACCCCCCACTCCCAGTGTGAAACCTGAAGCCCTGCCTTGCAGATACCTCACTCTCCCCAAGCCCAGGCCGAGCAGAGCTTCCTGCAGGGCCAGACCACTGACAACTGGTGGTTCAGTTCAACTGAGATGCCCCTCCTGGGAGGAGGGGCAGGCTCTCCAGCTCAGCTGACGGCGGGGGTGGAGGGGTACACACATCCCGCTGCCAGGACCATGGTCTTACAGAAAAGCTTGCTCCCCACACACAAGCTGTGGAGTCCTTAGTCTACCCTCTTGGGAGGTGCAGTAAAAAGGGGCCACAGGGGAGAGAGAAACACTAGGCATTGTCTCGCGCTGCCCCTTTGGGCTGTGTGACCTGAGGGATGTCAGTCACCCTCTCTGAGCTCGGTTGTACTCATCTCTAAAGTGAAGATGCTGAGTATTTCCTCCCTCCTGACCTCACACAGCTGTTGGGAGGCTTCTCTGAGGCAGAGCGCTTTGTGAATTGTCACGTCTGCATACAACTTAACTAGGAATTGCTCACTGTCAGACTCATTCTGTAGTTCCCGTGGTACCCACAGCAGGTCCAAAGGAGTCTAATAAAAGGCTGCACTGAGCGGTTCCGACTCCAACTTGCAGGAAAATCCAAAGATAAGGATGG